AAATATATTTTTCAATTAAATAAAAAAACGGCAGGTCTCCGAAAATATATTTTTTGTTATTTTCGGTGACAAATTTCAGATGTGATAAATATTGATCAACAAAAAAAAACGGCAGAAAAAAACGGCAAACTACACGATTATTCGAAATAAGGTTGAAACTGATTTTTACTATATAGTTGCCTCAAGTCAAAACATTTCGACTTCATGTATAATGCTTATTAATCAATTACTAATTCTAAATAAATATTTACATCAAATGAGCAATACATGAAATACTGGGGTGTGCAACATTCTAAGAAAATCAAAATTAATTAATGTCATATATTGATTGGTTATATATATATGTGATTTTTTTTTTGTTCTGCAAATCACATACAGGATTTTTGAAGAACATTGTAAACATATTGTTTTCAAAACACAACTCCTCCGTTTTCAAAAATATAGGCATTAAATTTCCATGAAATGTAGTATATGCATTATACTTTAGAGCCATGGAAAGATTTAATGGATTAAAAATACCAGTGGTGTAAAAAAACTCATTTGAAATACAGAAAATTTCTTTCTTTATCATAATACTTCTATCTATTGCAACTTTCAAATAGACTTATTCAAAACATCTTGAATATAGTTTAAAGCAATTTTTTTTGCAAACATCCTTCTTTATTCTTTGCAATCAGAATTATTATTTTTGATGGTAATTCTCTGTTCATAATATTGTTTTTTGTTTTAAAAATGTGCATGCAAATAGGAAAAAAAAATGGAAACTTCTATTATAGAAAACAATATGTAGTGGGTTGTAAGCCCAATCAAATGTCAAATGATTTTGTTCATCTTCAAAGATTTTTTAGTACCATCTTTTCTGGGTTGGTTGTGATTTATTTCAGAAAGGGCCCATAGATTATGTGCATTGCTATAACTAAGGTTTCCAGTCCAAACTGTTTTCTCAAAGCCCAAACTAGTTTGGGCAATTTGGGCTTCTCAACATTTTTTATAAATATGAACATTAAAAAACTATACCAATCAACTTATTTTAACTTAAACAACTTTAAAGTAATTTTGCCCAATTTCGGCTAATAACAAAAAATAGTTTGGGCTTATAAAAAAGTAAATTTTGCCCAAAGTGTTTCAGCGATTTTGGCTACTAATAGAGTTTCGACCAGAAACCTTAAAATTCAGTTTAAATCAGCATAGCTGTTTAATCACCAGTGGCTCAAAATCAAAAACAATCAATAGCATATACTGATTTTTTGCTGACTGGTGCCATAAGGTGACAAAACAGCCAAACTGAATCATCATTTTTGGCCAGTGAATCAAGGAATTAGAAATACAAGAAAGTGAAATAAGTAGTAGTGGTGAATTTTTTATGAAAACATTTATTTCTTAGAGTCTAATTGATTATTGGACTAGATTGTTTAATTAAATTTAATACTAACTCATTTTGTAAATCATTCCCTAAACAGAAAATTCCACCAATCGGCTTTCGTTAATATAATTATGCGCCTAATTTGGCAATAGAGATTTTCCGATCCTAACAATTTTATTAAAAAAATGATAAACTATTAATTTCTATATAATATATTTTTAAATTTTATTATTGCAATTTTCTATATTTACAGATACAATGAAAAAAATAAAAATAAAAAAATAAAAAACGCGAAAAAGAAAAATTAAAACTAATTAATATACTAAATTAATATGTATATGCATATTATATTATTTATGCAATTTGCTAATTAATTAATTAATACTAACTTTCTTCTAACTAAAGAAAGAATTTTGTGCAATTATCAAACTGCGGTTTTAATGAGAATTTCATTTTTATATTTGTTTTTATTTATTATTCATTTTGTTTAGCTGTTTCTTGTTTGGCTTTATTTCTTTCTGCTCTTGCCTTTTCATGAGCACGAATCTTTACAATCAATTTTTCCATAAACTCAACACTACATTTCTTGATTCTGCTACGTAACGTATCGTCGATTTGATATGTAGATCCGGTAGACAATTCAGATTGTCGAACCTCTTTACGTTGTACCAAGTCGGATAACTATTATTTAAAATTGTATTTATCATTTATTTATTAGAAATATAATGATAATTGATAATAAAATAAATGGGCACGATGATAGTAAATAAATAAATAAAAATTACTTACTTCTTTGGCATATTTTTTAAATGTATCCAAATCCATACAATGTTTGTATCGGCTGCAATTATCAACTACCATTTGAATTAACTAACAACAAAAACAACAACAATTAAAAAATAACTAATTAATATCATATAAATATAGATATAAATAAACTTTTTGTGCAAAAAATTAACTTACTGATGATCTGAATTCTGGTTCAGTTAAAGATCGAACAGTAGTATCAGCATAAGATGGAGCAGATAAAATACCGTTTGATGTAGATGATGATGTCGAAGCTGATGCGGATGTTAATGAATATGATGATTTTTTTTGTTTTTGTTTCTGTTTCAATTTTTCTAACTTTTCACGTTCAGCAGCCAATTCTTTTTCGCGTTTTTTAGAAGCCTCTTTTGAATAATATTCTGCACGTTCAATTGTAGCATGGATCTCAGCTTCACTAAATCCATCGTATGTCTTTCTATCGTTTACAACAACTGGTCTTTCCCATTGAGTTTTGTTGGTATATTTGTTATAATAATAGATTCTACCATATTCATCAACTGCTTCTGACCAGTTGGGAGCAAGAGGTGGCACTTCTTCTTTTTTCTCTTCTTTAATTTGTTTTTTTTTAGTCGTCGATGATGCGGAAGATGATACTGGTGTTGATGCGGATACTTCTGGTTGAGGAGAGGATCTTCGGTATGGATGATAGTATCTTGATGGTCTTTCATTTTTAAATTTTAATGATGATGCAGAAGGACTACTACCACGTCCATTATATTCATCGCTTCTGCTTTTGCCCTTATAATCACCACCGCTACTACTACGTCTAATATAATCATCATTTCTTCCTTTGCCCTTATAATCATTACTAACACCATTATAATCATCGCTTCTACCTTTGCCCTTATAGTCACCATTATAATTATTATTATTATTATAACCGTTTCCCTGATGGCCATAACGTTGACCAAAATTATTATAATCGTATCGTAATGACTTATTGGCTAAATTGTAAGAGTTTCTGGATTTCTTTCTTTTCATGTCTGGAGTTAAGAAGATAGGAGGAGGGGGGCGTTTGTATACGACATCGTGAAATTGGTTAAGCCAATAAGTGAACTGTGACAAGTTTTGGAAGGCATAGTTACTCTCAGTGTAACGACAGTAATAATCATGAGTAGAATCGTATTTTTTGGTATCCGTGTTATATTTTTGCTTCAATTCCTCTTCACGTTTCTTTTTCTCCTCCTCTTTGCGTTTCTTTTGCTCCTCTTCTTTTTGACGCCTAACTTCTGGTGGTTCTAATCCAAGATCACTATATTTTGGTGGTTTAATGTATACAGGAAGAGCGTCCCATTTTTCTACCAACTATAAAAAAATTAATAAATGTGTGTGGGAGTATATAGATGTATTTTAATAAATATTTATCATATAAATAACAAAGAAAGATATTTGTACTTTACCTTACTGCAACGTTCACCAATTTCGTCAGTTCGATTTACGAAACGAGAAACCCATTCTTTAAGATGTGAATTTTCAACTCGTACATTCTTGTATTTGTAAGGAATTTTTTCGATAACATTTAATGTCTAGATTATTATTATTTAATTTAAAAGAAAAAATTAAAAATCATCATTATTGTTATTTAATCAACGAATAAATAGATTTATACTTTTGAGATAATATCATCGTTTTTTTGATGCTCGTACAAATAAGTCTTTAACATGATTGATCCGTGAAGCTATTGATTAATTCATTAGAATCAAAGGTCATTGATATATTTATTTAATATATATATAATCGTATGAATTAGATCATTATTGTAATTCACCTTCATAAACCTATAGATTGTACTTCTGTCTGTCGTCAACTATATAAGATAACAAAGAATTTAGTGCATCGTAATAATTACATTGGTTAATATTTAATTTACTTCATTGTCAAGAAAAATATATAAATTTAATGTTTACTTCAAGCCTGTGTAAAAGCCCAGGAACCATAGCAGGATACTTCTCAACCGATTTCAACATCAATCCAATGAATTCAAGGACAGATTCAGGACCATTGATTGGTTCTTCAAGATTTGCCACATTTAACAAACTATATAATAAAGCGTCAACTGTTTCCTTAGTTCCGCCGATGATACCACGACAATTAGATTCACCACAAAAACATTCTTGAGCCTCGGATCTATTTTTTTCCAGCACAAAATAGAGAATAAATAAATAAATAAATAAATAAATATTTTTTATTCACGTGTGCAAGGTAATAATAACAAGTTATATCCTGTTAATTTAAAAATAATATATTTATCTTAAATCTATTATGTACCCATATCTTTCAGCATTGTAGTCGAATGTTAATTCTTCATCCTTAACAATATCTCTGCTGGCAAAAATTCCAATACGATAATATTTTCCAACCATCCATTTTTGTATAAAGCAATTTGGATTGCACGAATGGTTAATGAATCTTCCGATATCCCCACGGTCAGTCGCATCAATTATCTGTTAAGCCAAAACAATAAGCCAAAGATTATAAAAAAATAAGTACGAGATATATAATATTAAAGAAACACACGATCATATAATTGATTATATATATGTGATTAATGAGATATTCATAATATTATAATAATATATTGATTGATCATTAACCTCTCCCGCCTGCAATCCCATGAAATAAAAATGTTTTAACCCCCTCTTGTTGTATTCCTTCATTCTTTTCAAGAAGACATCCTTCTGGATAACGTCCCCAATATATTCAATAATAAATTGATTTCTAATTTATGTAGTTGGCAACGAATGACGAAAACCAAATTATAATTAATAAAAATATATAAGGAGTACGTGGAGATCGATATAATAAATAGTATGATCCATACTTTTTCAAGGGCTCTAAGGCCCGAAGACCAAAGCCTTTTGGGGGGACAAGAATCACATCCACGTCTGCCGTCTGTCCTTTTTGTATTCTATTAAAATTCAGATTAAGATAATTATGAAGAATTTAAATATTTAATTAATGTCAAAAGGATCTAAGATAATGAAAAATATATGTAAATATAAATATTTATTATACCTTCTGTTTCGACAATATTCACCACAGGGACAAAGCTCATCAGAACATTCTATGAATAATTCCCGATTTACGCAAGAGTCTCCACAGGCATTCTCAATAGGATCCCGAGCTATTATTATTTATACAATTAACAAACGATTTAAAAAGAGTATGAATTTCATTTAGAATTAATAATTCTTTGGTCAGCAATTAAAGATAAATTAGTATCTTTTTAAAATAATGCAAATTGTTAAATTACCTGGGCGATAGCTGCAGTCACAGGAGTAATTGTCCTCGGGGTGTTTCACCAAACCTACATTACCGTAATATTTATTTTTTTTTATTTTTTTGAAGCATGCAAGTGCCTCTGTGAGTTTTGATGGCTTGTCACTGTATAGTTTTACCATATTGAAGGAAGTATGATTTATATGATTTTTTTATCTCAAGAAAGAATTGAATGTATATTTATAAAGATGATGATAAAATCTATAAATTTCTAGCAGTAATTTTATCAATAAAATGATTTTTTTTTTCTTTGTTGAAAAAGTTTTTGGAAAAAAATTGTACAGACCAAATTCTGTGCCTATTTAAATTTACATTGTAGTACAATTCCAACCCTCCTCCCTATGAAAAAAAAAAAAATTTGTAACCCTTATTAAATTTCATTTTAGGTTGATCAACTTAAAAAAAAACAGGTTTTTAAAAAATCACACTAAAATTTAGGGATAATTTCATAATTAGACCACTGATTTATCTTTAATATTGTAAAAAAAACTGAATGAAGAAAAAAAGGAAACGAAAAGACGAAATGAAGCGTTAGAAATTGAGCAAATTAGTTAGAACTTATTTGGAAAGTATTAATTCATTAGCAGTAATAGAAAACGAGTTTTGATTTTTCTAGCAAAAATGTTGTCATCATCATAAAAATCATGTAAATCATTCATGTTTCATCTATGTAATCGAGAATCTGTGTACAACTAACATACACATGGAAGAATGTAAAATCTTTTTTTTATCAAAAATTTTTGGGCGTTATTATTAATATTAATATTGTTAGTTTAATATTAATGTTTTTACAAATAACAAATTTTGCATTTTCAAACTTCTTTTTTACTGCTACTTACTATATACCACTATTACAGTCAGATTTGATAAACAAACGTATGTGATAATCAATGTTGTATTATTATCTACCTATTAAAATTGATCTCTATAAGCCGATTTTATTAATATTTTTATTTTGAATTTGGTTTAATGAGTTCTGACTATAATTGGTAAATTTTTTTTAGTCAATATTCACCCATGGATCTTTCATTTTATCATGTAAAATCAAAAAAAATTGAGCAATATTTATTATCCAAGTTTAAAAATCACCAATTATTATTAGGATATTAAATTGGTGAAATATCAATAAAACCAAATAGCAATAATGATTTGTCAACCAGAAAGAATCCTATTGATGGTGGGTGAGGCAATAAGACTGATGAAATGATACTATGATGAGATAAAATGAACATTACACCACATAAAGATTTCTAACTCAAACTTTCATAAACCAATATTGGACACCAACCACACATTAAATTAGATTATCATTCTATATGGTTAATGCATTTCATTATTGAAAATTGAAAATACATCATTCTCTATTGTTTAAAGCATCTGCAATATTTTTACAAATGTTGGAAGATGTCATATAATTGTTAGAAATAGCTGTCATTCTTGATTTGATCCACTTCTTGGATCTTTTGTTACTACTTGTAAATAACCCTTTTTATGCATCCTTATGACTTAAAAAAATTGCATATTGATATTATAGTTGTGCCTAAGGTTTCTGGTCCAAACTGTTTTCTCAAAGCCCAAACTAGTTTGGGCAATTTGGGCTTCTCAGTATTTTTTTATAAACATGAACATTAAAAACTATACCAATCAACTTATTTTAACTTAAACAACTTTAAAGTAATTTCGCCCAATTTTGGCTAATAACAAAAAATAGTTTGGGCTTATAAAAAAGTAATTTTTGCCCAAAGTGTTTCAGCAATTTTGGCTACTAATTGAAAGAGTTTCGGCCAGAAATCTTAGTTGTGCCCACTTTCTATACCAGGCAGTTGAGTCACCAATAATTCACAGAATTTTTGTGATATTTTTGGACAGTAATCTGAATAAGAATTAATCTTATAGATTCTTGTTGCTCATCCTTTCATTGAATTAACAATGCATCAATTTGAATTTTTGTGGAATATAAAGAGAACAATCAATCTCCAAGTCAAGCTGAAGTGATTCTTTTGACTTTAAGAAGCATATCAGTGTTAGCCTTATAGAGAAATTGTCAACAATGAATCCATTGTTTTAAATGATGATGCTCAGGCATACTTGTTCCAGTTTTGGATGGTTTATCTTTATCCACAATCCGTCCAAACCAGTTCCAAGTCATATCATATTACCTTAACATTCTCTAACCGATTTGCATGTATAATGCCATATCTTGGCATTATTGACATAATGATAGTCATAATTGTCAACTGAGAGAGAATATTGGACAGATACTTCTAACAAGAACCTCCCATTAACTTTATATGCTTATCAAACAGCTCTAGCCATTTTGACTTCTTTTAATCTTCTGAGAACATCATCAAACTCTTCAAGCCTCATTCAATGTTGTAAACTTCTGGTTCAAAGCATCAGTAAGGCTCTTCATTTCCTGACATCCAATAAAATGCCAAAGAAACAGTGGAATTTTGCCAGCAGCCAGCATCAATAAGTTGTTCTCTCTCATTAATGATGGCTTATCTTTGGTCATTCCCCATCCTCACTCTTCAAAAAAAAAAAAGAATCAATTTCAAAGTAATTTACAGTTCTTTGAGAAACACTATTTATCTCTGGAAACCAGCAAGACTTTGATTTAGTTTATGATAAATGTCAGTACAATTGTTGATGGTCAGATAATAATTGAATACCAACTTTTTCTTTTTTTGATATGTAACAACAAAATATGTTTTACCTTTGCTTTCGTCAAAAGGTCTCAAGTTGTTATATTATTATTTTAGTATAATATATGTTGCTGTGCATTATCATCATTTCCAAAGTCAAGATTAAGGCTTCTTGGATATCAGCCTGTTTTTTTTTTGATGAATAAGAGGCAGACCAGTGTTGTAAGAATGTGTGATTTTCATAACCAATTGTTACATAGACAAAGGATTTCATATGATGAATTACATTAATCAAGTCTACAGCCTCCAGGACTTCCCTCAGTCCATGTAAGTAAAATTTCTGACAAATTGAATTTTTTTATGTAGGCTTCATTTTTCCAGCAAATGGAAATGGCAGCGTCACATATGTTGTAGGCTTCTTTAGAATTAGAGATTAACATAATAAGATTACTGAGGTCTTTAGCTGTTATACAAGTGTCTTTTGAAAGAAATTTGAGTTAAAATGAAATGGAAATATATTCACAAGAAAGGGTGTATGACTGTATTAGTCAGGAACAGTATAACTCAAGTAACCCAGTTGAATGAGTTGGCCCAATATTTAATGGATCAAGCTGAAATATGTAACAAATCAATTAACTTCAAAAATCCTTAGACATGTATAAAAAAAAAAATTCATCTTTGCTCTAAAATTATCATTAAAAAATTGTTGATAATAATCATTGACATCATCAAGGAAACATTAATCAATAAAATAAAGGATTATTATAGAATATTGATTGGCAATATAATGGCCATTTTGATTTTACATGGAATAAATACCATTATACACATATCTATTTTTTGACACACATGGACTTAAATACCATTGGAAAACTATTTTATTATAATTCTTTTCTGATCCTCTCAAATTTTTCCACACATCTAATCATTGTAGTTGTATGTTTTATTTTGTATATTGTTAAACAACAAAAAAAGATGGTAATTAATTCATTAAAGGAACAATAAAAGCTTCTGCCTCAAGAGATTGGTCAGAAATTCAACAAATTTGATAAAAGAATAAATTTAATGTCCAAAGGAATTCAACAAAAATTGTGAAGAAAGTGTCTATTCAGGTAATTCTCAAGGTAGGTGGTTCAGGTCCATTCCTTTATGCAGTCTTGTTTGGTTTTCCAGGAGAACAACCTGATTAACAGCATACCATGTATTAATAATGCATTAAAATTTGGAGATAATAAAAAAATTATTTGCAACATTCTCTAGTTCTGAAAAACCTTGTTGGAATTTTTTGGAATTTCTTGGAAGTTGGTTTGCTATGCTGTATGTCCTGCTTGCATTTGGTCATTTGTATTAACCATGCACTTGTACTGTGGAAAGTAGATGGTACTACATACTACATGCAGAAAAGATTTATTTACTATATAAAAAATGATTTATTTGTATGACATAATGCTTTTGCTTTTAGTATTCCCTCAAAACTTTAGAAAATGTCCAAATTATCCTGGCCAGGCAGGCGAGCATAGTAATGGAATGCTAAGAAAGAGCTCTTTTATATTATTGAAAAAGCACGAGCCCAACCTTTGTTCATTATTAGATTTTTTGACTACATTATTGTGAACTTGCCATAATCAGTAAGGCCTCAATGGAGTGTGGACCAAATGATTTCTGCGAGAAGCCAAAATAAAAAAGTTGAATTCAATGATGTTAGATAGTTTTTTTCAACTCGGGGCATAAGGATATAAATCTTACATTTGTATAAAAATTATATATACAATCTTTGTGAAACCAACACAGATGGCTGAATGTGGTATGATACTCAGCAATTTAAAAGTAATTGTTTGAATAAATGTTGGTTTTTCAACCACCAAGTGATGGGAGTACTCTTAATGAATCATAATCCAAATCAAGGGATCTATTTTTAACCAATATTTACAAATCTGAAAAGTTAAAATCAAGTTACTGCATCTGTATCATATCCCATTTTTTGAACAATTATCCCTAAAAACCTTGTCTTTCAACCCACGTTCTTCAACATAAATACTTTATAAATAATTGGTTTATAAAAAAATTTACTTACCCATGATACTTTGGATGAAGAAAGTATGCTAAGTGTAATTCAATGCGTGCTATAATGAATTTTTGATCATTCAAACTTGTCATTTTTTCAGTTTATTTTTATTAAACTTCAAATATAAAATAATTTTATTAAATAAAAAATATTAAACCACCATTTTTTTTCTTAACGCCCTGTGTATGGATGAGGCTTAGATAATATATGTTAATAAGCAATTATATATACCTTCTTTTAGCTTTCAGAATAGGTTTTCTAGTCAATCTTTATTTTTGTTTGTCACGTCGACGGTCATGAGTTTTTGAGTTGGTTCTTTGTAGTTGATTATATATTGTTTAAATTTTTTGAATATTTTTGTTATCTCTTCTCCAATTCTCCGTGAAATACCATTGATATTGCGATAACTGCAATTTTTTTTGATGCGAGTAAATAATTTCGAATAATGACAATGATAAATCACACATGTCTATTTCAATTGGTGAAATTGGTATGTCTTCTGTGAGTGGTAAAGGATCAACTGTAGTTAATTGATTTTCAACATATTGGAGATATAATATATATATTTATTATATTTGTATTGTATGTATGATGACATTTTTTGTTTTGTAGGAAGTAAGAGGAGGAACAGCATGAAAAGAAAAAATTAGTCTGTAGATAGTTCCACTAATATTACAAATAATGAATGGATTCTGATTACCATTGTTATCGAAATATATTAAAAGCAGAAACTTTTTATTATAATTCACATTCAAATAAGATAAAGCTCATATGAAATCATGTTTAATTTTTTTTGGTGTAAATCAGTAACAAAATATCCTGACTTTACATGTGGAAGCCGCCAGTTTAAGTTATTATTAGCCTCTTGATAGTGGAACTTCAAAATTTTTTTCTGTTATTATCTGTTATCTGACTAGATATATTAATGTTAAAATATTTGAATATTTGATTCTGTGCATGTGCATTTTATTATTTTAAAAAAAAAAGATTTTAGAATATATATATATCTACAGTCAGATAGACCTCTATATAATCACGTCCTCGGAACGGCACAAAATGCGTACTTATAGAGAGGCATTCTCACATAGAGCACCTCTCTATATATAATCACTCGCAAGTGTTCTTACATTCGATGTAATCGTTCTTTTTTTTTGCCTAATTCGTTTCTTATTTGCTCAAGCAAATTTACAAATAATACTAAAGCATCCTTTTTTATATTTTTTACCTATTGTTCTTTCCACTTTTTAACACGGATTGTTAATTGTTGAATCAATATCCGATGTTGCTGCTGGTGAAGACATTGAAACGATTTCTGACAATTTATTTAATAGAAGAGATGCTCTTGAAGCTGATAAAATTAGTATCAATAATGATTTTGCCTTCCCACATACTGATAAAGAATTTAGATGATGTGATTTATACTTAAAGGTGGTAAATACAGAGCTTTCAACACAAAGTTGGTATAAAATTTCGCTAGAAATCCAATTTCGGATTAGGAATGGAATTACGTAAATTTTTCGTTGGTGTTAGGGAAAAGGTGGAGACTTTTTTATAAGTCGCGTTCATTATATGTTAGTTTTTGTGCAATAGTACGAGGAATTAAACAGGATATGCTAAACTTGGATTTAATAAAACAAATATCAAGATACCAACGATGAAAGCATGAAATGTTACATATTTTAGAATATCCATTATTAAACCTGGGCGAAACCCTCTCCCTCACAAAAAAGTGGCCTTTTTGTGGGGAAGATCTAAAGGACTTGAAGATTCTTGGATGATGATAAGAGTGTAAATGTGCCACTTCCCAGAGATGATATCAGCCGTTAAAAAACCTTAGCTGGTTAATAAATTATTTATCTTGGATAAAATAATATTAATATATATTTATATGAATGACCAGAAAATCGATAAAAAATCTAAATAATAATCATTTAAAAAGCATTGAATTTTCTTTTAACAAAGAATATATACTATTTTACCAAATCTGATTTTTTACTTTGTAAACACATTTCCAGATGATGAAAACAACCTCTTGGATAGTACTGAGCTTTCCGGTATTTTCAAGTAAATTTAATTTGAACAGCAAGATTTGTAAAACTACTTTTTTTGTTGTAGGTACCTAATATTAAGCAATCGAAATAAAAAATTGGCTAACAAAATTGTCAACCGTAAAGACTTATTCCCCTTTTGATTATTATCAAAAACCAATGATGAGGCTGACTTCTGAGAAGTGCCCGGCCAAGCTAAATCAAATTGGCTTAGCCGGTATTTTATTTATTATCAAAATATTATTACATTATTACTATAATAAGAAATTTATCTATACATATATTAACATTGTTGATAGAAGTAGTGATGTCATCTTGCATTTCTAAAAAAGTCTATATTTATTTGTATTGAATTTTTTGTTATTTTTAATGATAAAAATAATTAGATATGCATCTAATGATCATCATTATTAAAATTCACAATTAAATTTAAACTTTAATATTAATACATACAAATGAACACATTTTCTACAATAAAACAATTACTAATTTTACAAAAAATTCCTTCCCAAAGAATTATTTTGTTTATTCACCAATGCTTAATTAATGCATTAGTTTTTTTACCTGAAGATTTTACTTTGTTATTAATATATAACGTTACTAATAATAAGAAGTAAAATGATAAATGCATTAACCGTTTTTGTTAAAAAATTCGATAAATATGGAAGGTTACATGCACCAAAACCATCAGCTACAGATTTTATTATACATTCTCAATGTCTTCCTTCCACGGATGAGAATTTTGAATTATCTGTCTTTTTTAAATGATCATTAGCAACAAAGTTTTGATTGCAATTCTTTTCCCCATAAAGAATATAAATCAAGTAATAATAATAACTCGGGAAATACTTGGCCAAAAGTTTTACTCGCTCAATTGATTTCTCTACTGGTACACGTCCGTTGTTCTTTCTTTTTAGTTTCACATTGTATTGATCGACAAAATGGCTTAGATTTTGATAAGCACGACCGGTAGACTAGTATTAAAAAAGAACCTACCTTCTAGATTAAGCATCGATCAATTTTGGGTTTCAGAAACTATTTGTTTGTTTTAGTTTTTCAATTGCAATTAATAATAATATTCATCAAATAATCGAACGTTCTGGATTTATTGTCTGCAAAGCACGGTACATTCCCTAGTCCAAAACTATTTCAAAAGTTTGAAACATTGAAACATTCAAAATTTAATATATAATAAATATTACGACATAAAGCTTTTAATTAACGTCATCTGCCAATGTTCGGCTAATTTAAAATATCTTGTTAAAGTTAATATGGTTCATGTTTCATATAGAATGTTACAATGTTTCATTTTGTTTCTTATCGCTTGCTCTAATGCAACATCATAATAACATGTAAATGGGAATATTTTTTTATAAAGACACTAATATAAATATTGGCATTGGTCAGTAATCAAAATTAAATCGAAAATTAAAAAATCAAATCAAAACAACAAACTATCAAACGAAAATGAACCGCTCCATTCATCTTCTTATCTTTGGTTTCTTATGTCTCTTGGTCTTTCTCATCTCTGGCGCTTCTGCTGCTTGCACTCCTGATGCCAACTGCGATTGCAACGTCAGCGGCTGCTCATGTGCAAATCTTACTGGAGGTCGCTACTGTGGTTATGAATTAGGTTGCGTTTCTCGGCTTCGATCTCATATCTTTCAATGTTCTGGCACAGGAGACATCTGTCATTTTGGTCCTTGCACTAGAGGCTGTAGGGTTGGATTTCCTAATAGTCAATGCAACTAAGTAATTGATACAAGTAAGCATCGATCTTTGTGCGATATGAAGTTATTAGTGTAGAAAAGAATAAATTTCAATTAAATATTTTGCTGCTGTTCTTTTCATAATGTATAATTCAAATAACATGATGTTTTCTTTTATTGTTATTTTTTTTTAATAAAAATTTTACTTTATTCATATATTCATGGAAATATGCAAGTCACCGAAATATTTATTTTATTACAAAGAAAATTATTATTTGATTGAAAAATACGGTTATTATTACTATTATTATGATTACATTTCAAAATATATAAAATCTCATAAAAGAAAAAAGTTATAATGCACAAAACTCACTGTAAAAGTAAAGTTTTTAAATTTTTATATAGAAATGTGATATTTTTTAATTGAAAAGAAAAAAAGTAAAATTTAATGAGCTGTTGGCTCAAACTTTCTTTACATGTAGGAAACAAATATTTATTATTTTCAAGGGAAATGATTAAAGATTCTCTATGACAAATAGTTATTTTTCTAAAAGTTCTCCACCTTCAATACTTTCTTATTCCAAATTACCGAAATTGATAATAATAGTTGGAGGAAAACTACAATTCTCCCTTTGGAAAATGAAATATCTGATGAAATTGAAAATTCAAGAAATATAGTTGAAGAGATTTCAAATAGAGAAAAAATGATGTTAATAACATAATAGTTGTTGAGAGTAACACTATGCCTAAAGTTTCAACGAAAGATGCCGTAATTTCCTTCCTCTATTTAGTTTATTAATTTGTTACACTATACCAAACCTCTCTATAACGAGCACTAAATAAATTTCTTTATAACGAATTTCCCTTTTGTCGCCCGTCTCCGATCCAATTTTTATAATTAATTTCTCTCTATAACGAACAAAAGCAGAAAAATACATATAATGGACAGAGGGTTCGGTATAGAGAGGGAGTTTTGTATTATTAAAAAAATTTTGTCCGATCATCAATTTTGCCGGTAGGGTTGTTGGCAAGTAGACATGTCACTGACAAAGCAGCAACCCAGGTTGCAATCTCCAAGTTGCAGAATTTTGAATCAATCTCAACACCAACTTTATTCTAGTGAGAGAGAGGTAAACACAAAGCAATCATCTCACAAGCACCAGCTATCAGTGATCAATGCCTGAGAGGAAGATAGGGAATGTTTTGTCCAAAGCCTTCCAACTTGATTCATCTTACCTGTGGATAAAACATTCCATTGCGTAACACACCGTTGACTTGTTGGTGACAGGAAATTTTAATTAAAACTGTCAACATCAGATTTATTATTCATAAGGAAAGGAAAAATGATTTATTTTGTGAATCCCAAAGATCTGGGTAGACACACATTGTTAAGAGTTTTATTTATGCATGGCCTTGGTATTATCACAACTTGGATGATGCAATTGTTTGTTACGTCAATGATAACATCAAATGTATTGAATAATCATCAAAATCATCATGAATATTTAATGGATGGAGGTATTCACATAGAAAGAGATGATTAAATAGCTAAGTCTTGATTTATAGTAAAGGCAGCGATCTTTTTCATTTTCTATCAATACGAATTTGTTACTATGGTGAGGTAATCTCATTTTGTTTGTTATTTTCTAATCATATTGTTGGCAGTCACATTCAATAGAATTGTTCCGAGATCCAACCTCGCTAATCAAAGGATATTAATATACGGCACTACCCTTAATCGAACCTTTTATAAGAAAAAATTTGAACGTCCACCTGCTAATTTAGATTGTATTAGTATTAATTTAATACTAATACTAGGGGTTGGCACCGTTAACCGTTTAACCGTGGTTAACCGGGGTCGCCAAAAAGCCCGTTCTTTATTTTGATTGGGTAAGAATATGACTACCTTATACTAAAATGAGGATAACTCATTTACGTTTACCACATGGTAAGTTTTCCGTGAATAAAGATAATGATAATTCCAGAACAACCACTCAGTTAAAAATAACAGTAATAACAATAATAGAAAACTTTATAATTCCAATGGCCCTGAAAAAATTACTACTACAACCACAACCATTTAAAACCGTAACAAAAACACTGGTTCACTCTCTAGCAGATCATCTACTACTACTATTGGCACTAATGCTTTTCTTAAAAAACGTAAAATTGATGGGCGTTCACAACCTTCCCATACCGTACAAGCAAAAAAAAAACATTTTTCAAGTTTTGTTGATTGAATTTATGGAAAAAACTAAGAAATGTGCAAGAGAATTGAATTGTTGGAACAAAAGCACGAGAATTTGGCAGCCAATAGACAAAATTATGAAAAAGAGCTGGTGGGCATCAACGAAAAATTTAATGTTACGGAAGCTGGTTGCAGTGAAATTAGAGGAGGGAAAAGGATAATTTGAAAAGGTCAATCAAAGAATATAACAATCTTCAGCAAGATTGGACATCATAAAAATGGAAACTAAAACTTTTGGATGATGATAAATTGAAATGTCAAATGGAGTTGGAAATGATTGAAAAAGAATATTTAATCAAAAGAGAAGATTATTAAACAAGAAGATTATATTAAAGGTTTGAAAAACAAATTACAAGGGTATAAAGATCTTTGTAATTCCTTACATACAGTGTGATTCAAAAAAAATGGTGGTTTGTAAAATATCACATATCTCAACAATTACACAACATAGTTGAATGAAATTGGATTCATTTGAAAGCTTTATCATTTACTTTATTAAATAATAAAAAATAAACATGAAATGCTATTGCCAATTTTCTCTAAAGCTAATTCATAGATTTTTTTTAGAACTTTGCTAAATTTTTGTCCCTGAAATTTTAACATGGAATTTTTTAATGATAGCTCTGACACAAGCATATACATAATAATTATATAAAAAATCATACCAGTCTATAGCAAAAGTTCTGGAGATTATGTATATAAAGTTTCACACTTCCAGATTTTCTAGAATTTTGTCAATTGAAAATAAAAGGAATTTGATTATTTGAAAAAACCATTCAAATGTGTAAATTTCTTTAATAATTGCTCTAAAGCCCACATAACAATATACTTCAAAACTTTTCTATATTATAATCCAAGATCTTCCAATTCTCTGGTATAAATTTTATTACATAATTTTGGCTACTTTTTCATTAAAAACAATATTTTACAAACCGCCATTTTTTTTGAAACACGCTGTATATAATAGCATTGACCTAAACATACAAATAGTTGCATAAAGTGCTTACTGAAAAAACATACAAAGTGAATATAAAATTGTAAAATTATGTATATAGGGATAAGTGTATATGAAAAGTATTAATAAAAGTGATAAATTTAATGGTTCTAATGAATATCAAAAAGCAATTGATTTTTTAGAAAAAGGATGTGATTGTGGTTGCTTTTCCAGAATTCCCAAGGAAGGATTTGCAGAATTAAGAGAGTCCTTTCAAGCTCTTTCTAAATCAGGGACATATTTTTAATGGCCCAACTTAAAGCAATGGATGGTGGATTAACAAGCACCAGCAGGTGTCTTAAAAAGAAAACCAGGTCTAATAAAAGAACTTTCTACCATTGGGATCACAATACATCTCTTTGTCAAGAAACTTACCTCAATATGTTGGGAATTGACAGAACTTATTTTGAAAATATTAGGAATCATCTGATAAACAATGGTCTTCTGCCAAGAACTTATGGTAATATTAAAAGGATGCCTCAATGGAAAACCAAAATGATGATTGATAAGAATGTTGCAGAAGTAGTAAAGAATTTTCTAGAAAATTATGC